ACACACACAAATTCTGTTCGACACCACAACCGCATCCAGCCCATACGTGCACGAACTGATCGCTATAAGAACAGCCCAGTCCCAACCATTGTAAAATTATCAATAACATGTAATAAATCAGTGTATTCACTCCTGTAAACACTGCTCCTACACTGTCACTATGTTGAAATGAACTGTATTTTGAGCTGATCCCCATCTAAGTTACATATGTCTTATTTGTGTCACTTATGTCACTTGTATATTATTTGTATGCAACCATTCCTATATAACTGTATATTTTCAGCCTTCGGCTGCCAAGCCTTCAATAAACCGTTAATTATTATTATTATTATTATTACACACACAAGGGGTTGGTTGGGGGAGAGGGGTCAGACGTGTGTACCCAAGAGACCATATATAGTGAGACACACAAACCTGGACTACAGCACTACACACATCACCACCTCGTCCAGTTTTCTATGATCACTGAGCGAAAAGTTTGCGTCACTTGGTTTCGTCTAGGTGTTGGTTCAGTGTGGGTCGGGGTACACTGGCGTCACTGATTACGGGGTGGAGGGTACTGTAGTGGAGGGTACTGAGGGAGGGTAAGTGGAGGCACTGTAGTGGTGGGTATTGAAGTGGAGGTTATTGTAGTGAGGGTACTGTAGGGAGGGCACGTGGTGGTTGTAGTGGAGGTATTGGAGGGTACTGTGTGAGGCACTGTAGTGGTGGGTATTGTAGTGGAGGGTACTGTAGTGGAGGGTACTGAGTGGAGGGCACTGTAGTGGTGGGTATTGAAGTGGAGGGTATTGTAGTGGAGGGTATTGAAGTGGAGGGTACTGTAGTGGAGGGTAGAAGTGGAGGTATTGTAGTGGGTTGTAGTGGAGGGGACATGGAGGGCTTAGGGAGGGTACTGTAGTGGAGGTAATGAAGGGAGGGTATTGTGTGGAGGGTATTGAAGGAGGTACTGTAGTGGAGGGTACTGTAGTGGAGGGTATTGAAGTGGAGGGTATTAGGTGAGGGTATTGTAGTGAGGGTATTGTAGTGGAGGGCACTGGTGGAGGTACTGTGGTGGAGGGTATTGAAGAGAGGAGGGGATGTAGGAGGGTACTGTGGTGGAGGGTATTGTAGTGGAGGGTATTGTAGTGGAGGGTATTGTAGTGAGGGTATTGAGTAGAGGAGGGGATGGTGGGAGGGACTGTAGTGGAGGGTACTGTAGTGGAGGGTATTGTAGTGGAGGGTACGTAGTGGAGGGTATTGTAGTGGAGGGTACTGTAGTGGAGGGTACTAGTGGAGGGTACTGTAGTGGAGGGTATAGTGGGGAGGGGTGTAGGAGGGTGAAGGGAGGGAGGAGGGGGGGATGTAGTGGAGGGTGTAGTGGAGGGTATTGTAGTGGAGGGTATGTGGAGGTATTGTAGTGGAGGGTACTGCAGGAGGGTACTGTAATGGAGGGTGTAGAGGTACTGGGTGGGAGGGGTAGTGGAGGAGGGAGGAGGGATGAATTAATGGAGGGAAGGAAGGGTACATATATTGTGGAGGGACAGAGGTGAGCCACTCCCTCCAATCCACCGGAAGACAGGTAGGAGGGGTGTGGGCCAGGTGACGGTGGGGGGGGTATGACCTTATACGCTACTAATGAATGGTAGGACAAGCTGGGGTGGTCGTACGTGGGTGTGGGTGGTCGCATGTGGGTGTGGGTGGTTGTATGTGGGTGTTGGTGGTTGTATGTGGGTATGGGTGGTCTTGTTTGGGTGTGGGTGATCGTATGTGGGTGTGGGTGGTCGTATGTGTGGGTGTGTGTGGATTTGTATGTGTGGGTGTGGGTGGTCGTATTCAGATTATTGGGTGGTGATTATGATGTGTGTGTGTGTGTGTGTGTGTGTGTGTGTGTGTGTGTGTGTGTGGTCTTGCGTGCGGGTGGTCTTGGCAGGGTGAGGTTACTGTACGGCTGAGTGGAAACAACGCTCCTCATCTGTACTAAGAGTCACTAATTCGTACCCAGGGCACCCCAAGTCGACCCAGCTGAGAATGTGTAACCTGCCTTTACAGTTGTGGAAGTGAAGGCGGTCGAGTACAGTACCGAAGAATGAACTGGTTTAGTTTTCATCGTCACCTCTGTTCATGTTGTCCCAAATGCGTCGTTAGGCCTATGGGAGCCACTTTCATTTCCTTAGTAATGATAGACGCATCTACTGAACGTGTAGTAATTAATGTACTTTGTTAATTAGTGATATTATATAAGGGATTATTGACCTTCTTGTGGCTAGGACTGTTAGATAGATAGATAGATAGATAGATAGATAGATAGACAGATAGATATTCAGTAAAATCGTCAAATAATTTTACATTGATTCAGTATTTACAACCCACAGACAGTGAAGGTATACAAATAATGTTTATAGACAGTAAAGGAATACAGTAGATTAAGGGGACTGTATCCGACACTACACTCGACCGTCTTCAGTTCCCCATCTGTAAAGTTAGGAACCCACTCTCAGCTGGGTGGACTAGGGCAATGCTGATAACGAATGAGGGATTTTTAGGGCAGGAAGTGAGTGTTGTATCCACTAACCCACCACAACCCTTATTTGATGCTAAAGACCCCCTAATTTAAGTATAAAAGCCCCGTATCAATCTCTAAGACCCCTTAATATAAATATAAAACCCCTTATCCACCTCTAAGACCCCTTAATATAAGTATAAAACCCCTTATCCACCTCCAAGACCACCTAATATAGGAATAAAACCCCTTATCCACCTCTAAGACCTCCCTAATATAAGTATTTAACCCCTTATCCACCTCTAAGACCATCTTAATATAAGTATAAAACCCCTTATCCACCTCTAAGACCTCCCTAATATAAGTATTTAACCCTTATCCACCTCCAGGACCTCGTAATATTAAGTTAATTTAAGTTAGGTTAAGTTATCGTAGAGGTGAAATAAGCTGGGGGGTGTGAGTGACCCATCAACAAGTGATCCGAAACATCTCTCTCATGAAACACACACACACACACACACACACACACACACACACACACACACACATCATTCTGTGTTAGTTGCCCGCCAGAGCTGGAAATCCCGTTCTCTATAACACGTCATCACTCGGGGGGTCTGTTTTTTAGAGAGACGTAATTCTTCTCTCTCTCTCTCATTCCCAAACGTCACTCAGAATTAGGTAGATAGAGTTAAAATCCGGGGTGTTTATGCTGTAGGAAAAGTAAAAATCAGTAGAAAATGTGGTAGTGAACGTTTCCTGGTGCATGTGGGGGAGGGGGGGGTAGAAGGAACGTTTGGTGGTCAACAGAATTCCCCAACAGATGTCAGCTCCACTAGCCATTCAGGAGCCAGTTAGTCAGTCTCCTCATCCACAAGCGTTCGGTCACTCCTCAGATTTTCAACGCTAGATTTCAAAGATATATTCAATCTCTATGCATATATATACCTCCACCTTACGCATACTTACAAATTACATATTCATAAACAAATGATTGAAATAATATGAAATTTTCTCTTAAGTTGATCTTGAACGCCGTATGATCGTGGCTTTACCCTTAAGTATGAATGAAACTAAATGGGAAAAAAAATGGCCGTGGTTTGTTATGGGTTTTCCCTGGGTTTTCCTTGACCAAGGCCGCGGAAGAGACGGGCCAGCCAAGGGAATTTCAAGGTGCAAGGAAAGAACTACAGTGCTGGTAACATTGAGGTGTGAGGGGTGTTGGTGAGATGTGAGGGGTGTTGGTGAGGTGTGAGGGGTGTTGGTGAGGTGTGAGGGGTGTTGGTGAGGTGTGTGAGGTGTGGGGGGTGTTGGTGAAGTGTGAGGTGAGGGGTAGGTGTGAGAGGTGTGAGGGGTGTTGGTGAGGGTGTGTGTTGAGGTGTGAGGGTTGCAGGAGGTGTGAGGGGTGTTGGTGAGGTGTGAGGGTTGTTGGTGAGGTGTGAGGGTGTTGGTGAGATGTGAGGGGTGTAGGTGGGTGTGGGTTGTTGGTGAAGTGTGAGGGTGTTGGTGAGGTGTGGGGTGGGTGAGGTGTGAGTGTGAGGGGTGTTGGTGAGGTGTGAGGGTGTTGGTGAGGGGTGTGTTGGTGAGTGTGAGGGTGTTGGTGAGGTATGAGGGGTGTTGGGAGGTGTGAGCTGTTGGTGAGGTGTGAGGGTTGTTGGTTAGGTGTGAGGGTGTTGAGGTGTGAGGGTGTTGGTGAGGGTGAGGTGTGAGGTGTTGTGAGGTGTGAGGGTGTTGGTGAGGTGTGAGGAAGTGTGAGGGGTGTTGGTGAGGTATGAGGGTGTTGGTGAGGTGTGAGGGGTGTTGGTTAGGTAGGGTGTTGGTGAGGGGTGTTGGTGAGGGAGGGTGTTGGTGAGGGTGAGGGTGTAGGGTGAGGTGTGAGGGGTGAGGTGGGGGTGTTGGTGAGGTGTGAGGGTGTTGGTGAGGTGTGAGGGGTGTTGGTGAGGGGTGTGAGGGTGTTGGTGTGAGGTGTGAGGGGTGTTGAGGGTTAGTGAGGTGTGTGTTGGTGAGGTGTGTTAATGACAAGGTGAGGTGAGTTTACAGGCATGTGAGGTAAACCTTATTGGGTCGAGCGAGAGTGGGGAGGTGGACCTTGGCCCTCCCTCCCCCCCAGCCTCCCCCCTCTTCACCCCAAGCCCCTGATTCTCCTCCACGAACCTCACTTACCCCCACCACCTTAGTCGTGTAAAACTGTGAAGGCCGTGGAGGTGACTGCCGTGTGGAGGTGACTGAGGGCCGTGTGAGGTGACTGAGGTGACTGAGGCCGTGTGGAGGTGACTGAGGTCTGAGGGCCGTGTGGAGGACTGAGGGCCGTGTGGAGGTGACTGAGGCCGTGAGGTGTGAGTGACTGAGGGGCCGTGGTGACTGAGGTGGAGGTGACTGAGGGCCGGGTGGAGTGACTGAGGTGACTGAGGCCGGGTGGAGGGTGACTGAGGGCCGGGTGGAGGTGACTGGGGGCCGTGTGGAGGTGACTGAGGGCCGTGTGGAAGTGACTGAGGGCCGTGTGGAGGTGACGAAAGGCCGG